CTTAGGACATATTTCGAAGGTAACCACTAAACCAAATGATGATGGTTTTATGGATTAACCATATTTTTGGCCCAATATGTTTTAATAACAAAATATTATTTGCTAGCCATTCCATCAAAGTCAACGTTTGATATGATCCACAAATCCAAAATGGATTTCGAATAACAAATGTCATGGTATAGTGTGACCATGAAAATTCATACTTTTTGACACTTTGGAAAATGTCAAAAATTTTGAATTTATGAACAGTGGCTTGTTCATTATTCTTGACCATGTTTGCTTTAAAAACATGACTTTTGCCGAATTGATTTTCATAATTATTTGGCAAAGTGGGTTGTTTTTCCATGTTAGCCATTAATGGCTTATGAAAATCACCTATAGATATGTTATTTTCATTACTTGACTCTCTAAAAATTGGTTTTGAGACCCCCCGAGCCATGCATGAAACATCATTCTTAGCCAAATTTGGCTAAAAAACATGCTCTTTCATTACGTTAATTTCATAATTTAGCTTTTTAAAAACGGACTCTTGAACCCCCCGAGCCATTGATGAAATCAACTCTTTGTTTTTGCTATTTTCAACCATGGAAAAATTCTGAAAAAATTCACCAATTCCGGTCATTAAAGTCTCAGTTAAAGACTTGGTAGTGAGAGTTGATAACTCATCATTCCATTGGTGAATTTCTATATCAAGTTGATGAATTTCTCCAATTAAATGGTGTCTTTTTTCTTCCACCAAATAATATTGTAATGGATGAAAGTTTATTTCATCAAGCAAATGGATCTCTTCTTGAAGATCCAAAATTTTTCTTTCACGCAAATATATTTCAAATTGACAAGTTCGAATGGCAAAATCCAAATTGTTTGTCATTTTTTACACTTGGCGATCCTACTGGGCGTGCCAAAAATTGTTGGCTTATTTTTCCTACGAAGGAAAATATCATAAATGCGAGCGTGCCAGCAAGGATTGAAAAATCCTTACAGATTAAATTCAAGCCAATTATCAAACGATTGTCACTACAAAAAAATTGACTTTTTGCGACGGTAAAATACCGTCGCTAATACTCCTAATGCCGTCGCTAATACTTTTTACGACGGCAAAATGACTTTTTGCGACGGCAAGAGGGGGGTCGCAACTGCAGGGGTTGCAATAGAGTTTTTGCGACGGTAAGTGCCGTCGCTAATGTTTTGCGACGGCATTTTTTACCTTTTTGCGACGGCACCGTGCAGTCGCTAATAACGTTTGAAATTTCTTGACTTTTTTGCGACGGCCCTATTTTACCGTCGCTAAAAATGTTATTTGAGACAGCAAAAAATACCGTCGCTAATAGTCTTTTTTTTAAAAAAAAAAAACACTGTTTTTGCGACGGTGTGGTGCCGTCGCAAAAAGTATAAAAAATATGAAATTTTCTATTTTTGCGACAGTGTAATGCCGTCGCAAAAAATATTAAAAAATAATAAATTTTTTATTTTAAATAACAAAATTTCTATTTTTTGCGACAGTATAATGTCGTCGCAAAAAGTAAAACCTATAACAAAATTAATAAAAATATTAAAAATTTCTATTTTTTCCGACGGTGGTGCCGTCTCTCACTCACTAAGAGCTGATTATTTACATTCCATTCACAAAAACATCATAACAGAAAATAAAAATAAAAATTGATCAAGCCATCAAATTCAATATTTTACAAAGAACAATTAAACTGTACATGTTCATAAAAGCATATTTAAATTATAAAATTCACCCAAATCCTAAAAAAAAATAAAATAATAAAATAAAATCTAAAATTCACCAATCAGCACATTGGATATTTAAATGCTCTTACAAAAAATAAAAAAATAAAAAATTTCCAACAAGATCTCAATTTTGAGCCTATTTCAAAAATCAAGCTGCAAATTCCTACTTCTAGAATCAGATCTTCCCCTCGGCAAAATTTATCCTTTTGACCTACAAATAAATAGATAACAGTTGCAAATTATAATCTTTTGGAGAAACCAACTATTTAAACACCAGTAATGAAGACAATGAAAACTGTGGAAAGAACACTTACGTTGTCATCAAGAACAACTGCATATCTCTCAATTGAAATTTTTTCCGCACCATTCAAGATATTCCTTGTGACTAAATAAATTTTTTTAAAAATTTAATTTAAAACTTATCATTTAAAATATAATTTCATACCTAAATTATGATTTTAAAATTAAACTAAACAGAAGCTTTCACTTTCCCTTTCTCTCTCTCTCTAAACAAGTCTTACGTCTCTCTGTAAAACACTATCATTCTCTCTTCCTCTCTCTAAACAAGCCTTATTTTCTACCTCCTCTTTTAGGTGCCCCCCTCTTTCCAAAACACTCTCATTATTCTATCTCTAAACATCTCTCATTTTCTGCCACCTCTCGTAGGTGACTCCACTTTTTTTCTCCTTTTTTTTTTTTTTTTTCAAAAAAAAATCCTCCCACTCTCTCTAGA